TGAATCAATGGGCGTCTTCATAACAATTTGTGGGAAAAGTTGTTTTGTCTTTGAGAGCATCCACCTCAAGTTTCAAATTTGATCCTAATAGCTCTATTAGGGCTCATCTAACAGTGAAAAGCATGTAACTTCTGAAGTAAATGAAGTCCAAAATAAGGTGATAATATTCACATAGAATGATCTTAAGGAAAAAGAAATCCAAGAAGAGGAAAATTAAAAACCTTCATTTCAACATTTCCACTTAATGGAATTTGGAATCTTGAGTACATGAAACAATTTCAGTAACTATCTGTGGAATAGAAGTAGCGTAGTGCCTGAGACACCTGACTGCTAACCAGAAGGCTGGCACTTCAAACCCACAGCCACTCCTCGGAAGGAAGATGGGGCAGTCTACTTCCGTAGAGATACTGCCTTGGAAATCCAAGGAGAGGGTCATTATGAGTTGGGTCTGACTTGACGGCACACAACAACATCTGTGGTATAGCCTGAATTTGGGCACATAATAAAAAAAATGAGTTTTATGGTCCAACATTCAATAACTTTAAATGTTTGAAAGTAAAGAGTTGATGATTATTCCTAACATCCTAAATCTGTCTGAAAACAGACTCACTTAAAAGCAAATTTTCCCAAAAGAGGATGTTTGCATTGATAACCAATCTTTTTAGGGCTCAAAGCCATCTTCTGCAAAAAACCAAATCAATTCCATAGAAAGCCTTAACACGGAAAGCTATTCAATGCCACCCATTAATGTCTCCAGAATTAAGCTCATGTCAGGATTTCCACGATCAACCAGAGTCTTCAGGGATTTAAAACTAGGCTATGACAATTGGCTCACAGCAAAGAACCTGACAGTAAACACTGGTGCCATTCTGCCTTAAAAATAGCTTGAGATTCAACCATTTGAAGATCACTTTGAAACCACAAAGAGTAAAACAGAGTTGAAGAAGCCTTATAGCTAAGAACTTCATAATCCTGCAGAAAGAATTTTCGCACCAATGGTTTGCTAAAGAAAGGAAGATCCAAAGAAAAAATTCTGAGGGGCAAGGGACAGACTATTGACCATGGTCCTGACTGGTCTCTAGACAACTAGCTTAGAGGCTAGCTCGTTCCAGTGATTACACAGATTGAGGGGCAGGCGATGATCCTTATCCTTTCCTGGAAAAGCAAC